CTTAAGCATTAAATTTTTTCTAGTTTTAATTTTGAGAATTAAGAATCATAACACAAGTATGACAGGTGTTATGTATTCTGCTTTTGCTTTATTACTATATGTTTTATTCCTTTAGTTTTTATGATTCATCTTTCATCTCTCATGCTATTGGCATCATGAAGCCTAGATTTTTTAAATAAAAAATTAGCATTTGATAAAATGAACTGAATTTATAAGAACATAAGAAGACACTTGTTGGATATCCCAGTCCTCTGTGAATCTTCTACAGTAGTTCTCTTTTAAAATCATTTCAGTTGGTGGCCATCATCACATCTCCATGCATCAAATTTCAGAGTTTATCTGTCATTGAGTAAAGAAACATTGTACTTCATTTTCTTAATACTGAAAATGGCAGAACAAGGATTTTCCGATTGATTTCCATCCCTTGCCTCACCCCACTCCAAGTTGTTTTGTTTGTTTTGAATGTGGAGCTTCAGTCTGGTTATTTTTTTCCTTCCAGTTCAATAGACAAATTTTTAAGTAGAATCTATTCCCCAGTACAGTTTGCTTCCTTGCTGCAAATGTTCCTATTTGGGCTTGATTTTGCCACAGTTAGCCTTGTTACAATAATAAAACACTTTAGATTGTTGATCTGTTCCATTGTACTAAATATCCCCAATTTGTCCACTGGTTTGTTAATACAGTTGTATGGTCTAATATTGTATGTCATCATGTTGAAAGAATTGTGCTGCTTATCTTTTTGTTCCAAAGCTCAATGAAAAATATATATTACTAGCTGTACCCGGCCACGTGTTGCTGTGGCTCAGTCTGGTAAAAGCGTGTGTTGCTTTTACGTCCAACAGATGGTGCTGTTTTTCAAAAAAGCATGTTTTTACCTGTCACAGGTGTGACATCTATATAATATAGGTATATGAAAACACACGCGTATTCGAATGCAATGTTGTGTCAAAAATTCAAAGCAATCGGTGAAGAACTTTCGGAGATTTAAGATTTTGAACAAACGAACATTTATATTTTTATTTATATAGATGAACATTAAAACTTAAAAATGCTTTTAGATTGTCTATTTTCATTTGATTATGCCCATGTTATTGTTCTGTGCTGAGGCTTTGCTTCATCCTTATTTTCATTTTGACAGCTATCCACATTATAAATTAGATGCCTAAAAACTTCTATTAACCAAGACCTACCTACCCATCTACCTACCCCCCCTCTGAATCTTCTGCTGTTTACAATTTTACACTTACATAGTACAATATACTGTTTAATGATGTGCATATAACAGAAAGTGCATATAACAGAAAATGTTTTTATAAAAACTTTTCAACTTATGACTCCAATTAAGCCCACAAGTCATGGGGGTTGTTAAATGGGTCAATACATGAAAAACCTAATTGTATGACATTTTTTTTTGCAGCAGCAGTAGCCTTAAGTGAATGGGGTGGTTAAAAAGTGAATGCTGCAGTTGTTTAAATGAACATCGTGGTTGTGAAATGAACCCATTGTTTGCAATGGGTGTTTTTTGCCCATTAAACATTGGTTTCTGGCAAAACATTTAAAAAATCATGTTCACATGATGACAGAGTGCTGCATATGGCCGTAAATGCAGACCAGTTGCTGAGCATCAAAGTGCCAAAACATGACCATGGAATAGGGGGAGTAGATGTCAGAACTTCAAATCATTAGTCATAAGTACTTTCTTTTGGGTCTGTTGTAACTTTGAATAATTGGTAAATGACCATTCATTAAATGAAGACTACATATAGTCTTTTTAAAATTTAAAAACCAGATGTGCCCAGAATAGTTGATGGATGGAATATTCTTAATGTAGTTTATTCTTTTTCACTTCAAAAATTGAAATATATAGAAGCAAAGCAAATTACACATCATAATGTATTAAATGTACTTAATACACTGAAAGTTTATTGGAGGAGCATTTATATTAAAGTGCCTTAAAGAAATCTCAAAATTTCTTTTGAACCATTAGTTGATATCACCTGGTATTGGTAGCAAAAATGATAAATAACAAAAAGTATGAATTTGTCCCTGTTAAAGGGTAAGATTCTTGGAAAAGAACAACCATTTGGTAGATTTAGCAACATAACTGAGCAGCATTCTATATATAAACCACTTAAAATTGATCATCTATGATTACTACCATTGAACAATCTGTATTACAAGAGAAACAACTATTAGTTTGGAATGTAAAATTAATTGAATGCAAAATTAAGAAACAGATGGTAAACATTGTTATAGTTTGCTTTTTTCTGGGTTAAGGATAATATAAGGCAAACTATAATAATACTTAATTTATTTAATTATTACAACTTCACATAATGTTCTGCAGGATTTTTGTAAAACATTTTGCCAAATAGTTCCGTAAGGGTAGTTTTATTGATTGTTCAAATCACAGAGACCAATTGAAATATTTAAATTTTTATATAGCCAAATAAAGGAAATCAGTAGAGCTAAAAGATAGTGGAAAGTGGTTATGGAGAAAGGAAGGAAACATTTTTTCTTCTGAACTCATTTAGTAAATGCTTGTGAAATAATATACTTCATCTAATATTTCATCTTAACTTTGTTTTAATGATAGTTTTTGGGGTATTTTTGTAGTTGTTTTTATCAGGCTGTCAGCCGCCCTGAGTCCGCAAGGCGAAGGGCGGGGTATAAATTATTATTATTATTATTATAATAATAATAATAATAATAATAATAATAATAATAATAATAATAATAATAATAATAATAATACTGTGAAAAATGTAAAAATTATTCAACCAATGTAGTCAAATTGAGCAATCCAAAAGGAAACAACAGGTTATATTAAATACAGCTTTTGTTGGTGTAGAAATTAAGCTACTGCTTTTTCATCAACTATTAATTTTCTACAAAATTAGTTCTGTATAAATAGCTTAGCAATAAAAGTTTATGATTCATCTGGGGAATCTTATTTAAAGGTAGAATGTTAAAGTTCTGAGAAAATTGGTAAAGCCACACAAATGAACAATTCAGTAGCGAGGAAAGAAAGTTATCATGGAAGGACAAAGAAAATTTTCCCTAGTTAGACTGTTCCACATAGAGAGCTTAAATCAGAATGTGTGGCTACAATGTCAGAAGCACGTTTAGTAATTAAAACATAATCATGCTGCTCTGCTCAATATGACTTTCCACTCTCGGAAATAAGTGAGTTTTGTCTACTGAAAGGAGTCTGTTATCTCCTAGCAACCTCTTCCTTTATAGCTAGATGGGAATGAAGGTTGAGGCTTGGGGAGAAAGAGAGGGGTGAGCGCCTCTGCTTTTTACTCCACTCTCCACTTTGTTTTTGTTTGGAGTAATTGGAGTGATTGAAATTCCGGATCATGAATAACTCAGAAAAATGGTAAGGTTGACACGCAAGAAAAATACAAGTCAAAATAGCACCAATCTCCTAATTTTTCTATCATATTTGTTGTGATTTCCTTAATCATACTGTGTCAGGATTTTATCTTCTTAATATTAGGCTTGCTCATCATTTGATAAGAATGCACTGAAACTTGTGTTGAAATATTTGCACTATAAGAGGAGGAACTCTAGTAGATCAGATCAGACTAATAGAGAATCAACCACGGCTAATCAAATGCTTCCAAGAAAGATGGGGCAGGAGAATGAATATTTAACTCAGTTAATATTTAACTCACTCGGTAAACAATTGAAGCTGTGAGGTGAACCTGAACATGAGTCTTCCTATTCTTTACCCAGCCCCTTAACCACTACACTTCCTTGCTCTTGAGCTAAGAGGGACTGCCCCAAACTCCCCCAGGGAACTTCCATGACTGAGGGGAACTGGAATTTGGCCGGGGGGCTAAAAGAGATTAATCGGTCCAAAGTCAGCCAATGGCCTTCCGTAGTGAGAGGAGGAATTGAACCCAAGCTCCCCATTTCTTATCTATCCTACATCATTAGTTCTGATGTCATTACCTAGTTTCAATAGCATAGCAATAGCATTTAGGCTTATATACTGCCCCATAAGGCATTATAGCACTCTCTGGGCACAGTTTACAACATAGAAGCATTATTTGCATATTGCCCTCAACAATCTGGGTCTTCATTTTACCGACTTTGGAAGGATGGAAATCTGAGTCAACCTTAAGACCCGTTGGGATCAAACTCCAGGCTGTGGACAGAATTTGCCTTCAATTCTGCACTTTAACCACTGCACCACCATGCTTTGCTTTGAAATACCAATGTACTCTATGGCTTGACGTTAGTGGTTCCAACCTTGGCAATTTTAAGATGAGTGAAGTCCCATTTTATTCATGTATTTTTAAAATTTTTCTTTGTTAAGAGTCAAAGTATAAGGCTTGTCATATGACTTAAAAAGCATAATGGAAAATATCAAATTATTCTCTCAACAGAGAATTTCCTGGCACTAGTCAGGGCACAACAAAAATTTTCTTTTACATGATTATATGACTACATACATAGAAATTCTACTCTGTGATTAGATCTAAGGCAGTAAGAATAAATTTAATTAATGAAATGAGCTGTAAGTTTAATAATAATAGTGTGTTGCAAAGGCTTAATTGATGGATCAGCATTTGTTGTTTCTAAGTGGGAGAAAAACATACATTTTAATTTCAAAATAGAAAACATTTGAAGGTACAGGAAGGATATTAAAAGGGGAAAAGAATATTCTATTTATTTAGTGTACAGGTTGAGTTTAATCCATTTACTGAAATAATTGCATTTTTATAATATGGCATTTACTTGTTTATTGTTGTACCTGTTAGGTAGCTAATTTATGATATGAACAAAGTGTGTATTCCAGTTGCTATAATAAGTAGTGAATTTGAAAATAGGCAGTCCAAATTCTGGTAGCCAGCTATAAAGTTTAGACAGATCTGAGACAAATTTCTATGTCTTCAGTCATTTCAAAGAAGGAAATAATTTAGGGGAGAAAGCAAAGTATTAAAATTCTGAGAAGCAGTGCTGAAATGGCCCTGTGTTTTGTGTTTCAGCGATGTGCGTACTGCAAGCACCTTGGAGCCACTATCAAATGCTGTGAAGAGGAATGCACCCACATATATCATTACCCGTGTGCTGCTGGAGCAGGCGCATTTCAGGACTTTAATAACCTTTCCCTTCTTTGTCCAGATCATATTGACCAGGCTCCACGAAGATGTAAGTAACCCTGTGGTGGGATTCAAATATGTGAACAACCGGTTCTCTGTGTGGATGCCACTTCCGGAAGTCCATTATGGGCCTGGGCAACAAAAAATTAGCTACCGGTTCTGCCGAAGTGGTGCGAACTGGCTGAATCCCACCACTGAAGTAACCTTATTATAAAAGAACTTCCCAATCAGATGTTTGTTTAGTTATTTCAAATCTCTATGGATTTGATTGGATATTATTTGTGCAGATTGGTTTGGCTCCCTGGCTGTTTTTTTCCTATCATTGATTTTTTTTAAAAAAATAAATGTTGTAACTGGTTGCGCGATGGGCATCTATATAAATCGAAGGAATAAATAAAAAAATAAAAGGAATTGGAGTATTTAGATCTGCCCAATATGAAGGACTGTAGGCAAGGAAATGGCGCAAGATTAATTTTTCTTCTCTACTATATAGTAGCAGTTCAAATTAAATGTTGAGAAACGACAGAAGTCAGATTGCTTTATTATCAGCTAATTTAAAATCAATTTGGTCTGCTCTCTCATCTTGCAACATCTTTTTTGAAATATAAATTGCTGTTCCTGCTGCACTCTTCTTTTTTAGTAATGGCAATAATCTCACTAGCACCTGTTTTAATTTTAAAGACTAATCTGTATATAATAACAGACTTATATGGACATTAAATGTTTTATTTTCTGGGTCCATTTTTTCATAATATTGCGTCCATAACCCTTATTTAACATCTGAATAAAATTTATAGAATTAAAAAAATATCTAGCTGTTTCATCTTTTGAAGGTTATTTCCCCTATAAAATAACACAGAATTCTTCTATTAATTTGTAGCCAAGGAAGAAGCTAACTGTGCAGTGTGCGACAGCCCTGGAGACCTGTTAGATCAACTTTTTTGTACAACCTGTGGCCAGCATTATCATGGAATGTGCCTGGATATACAAGTGACCCCTATCAAACGGGCAGGTTGGCAGTGCCCTGATTGTAAAGTGTGTCAGAATTGCAAGTAAGCAAAACTGGAATATAAAGTGCTAAAGCACTGGTACCTCATTTTAAATTATTGTGTATAAGTCAGACATGTCAAACACAAGACCTGGGGGCCAGATGCAACCCGCGAAGTGGTTTCATGTGGCCTGCGAAGCCATCCTGGAAACAGTGAGGGAACGGCCCCCATTGCCTTGGCCCTGGCCCAGGCCGGCCGGCCAGGAGCCAATATACAATTTTGTGGTGGCCATCTATGCTGAAACGCATTCAGTCTTAGCTCCACAAGGCCGCCTGGAACCAGCGAGGAACCAGCCCCTGCCATATCAGCCCTGCCCCCTGGGTGCATGCTGGGGAGGTGTCACCCTTTGTGAGGAATGAAGAAATGCACCATCGCCTGGAAGTGGCCAGCAAATGGCCCTCACCTACTTCACATATCCGGCTTGATGGGCTCCGGTGGAGGGGTTTCAGCAGGCAGTGAGGCTCCTCCAGGGGACCATGTCTTGGCACTTGCCCCATTCCCACACCCTTCTGCCAGAGACCCTCAGATCTGTCCCACTCCTGCTCAGGCCCCCACAGTCACCCTTGACGCGAACGATGTAGAGCTGGCCATGCCCACCCAATAGGCCACACCCATTCCATCCACACTCACCTAGTAGGCCCCCCCAGCCCCCCCGAGGGCAACCGCAGTGCTGATGCAGCCCTCAATGAAATTGAGTTTGACACCCCTGGTGTAAGTAGTCCTTCTTAGTGACCACAGCTGGGACTAGAAACTCTTCAACTCAGTCCTGCAGTCACTAAGTGGAAAATTGTGATCATGATAGCCTCATGACTTCACTTCTGCTTTGTCATTAAGTGAATCACTATATCATTAAGTGGAATACCACACGATCATGACTTACAATTTTACTTCCATGTTCTCCATGAACTCTGATTACTGCTAATCAATTAGAAAGCACACAAATGCTAATCATTTGTGAACATGGGAAGTTGTGAGGGTCATATTTTTTTATGCCCTTGTAACATCAAACCATTATTAAATAAGGCAGTTGGTAAGCGAGGATTGCCTGTAGTGTTATGAAAAGATGAAGTAAAACCTATGAAATTTTTTTCTGTTGGGTTCATTAGAAGATAGGTTGTTGTGGATATGACATTGTCAACAAAATGACACTTGCTTTACTGTATTTGCTTTACTACATAACCTAAATAAGTTTGCTCCTAGAAATTTTGATTCTTCCACCATTTTTGCTTGCCTGTGATGATTTCTCTTCTAAAACAATCTTCCCTAGATGTGGTCTGTGGCCTATGAAGAATGGAGAAAATAATCTTTTGGGCATATTTTTCAATAGAGTTAGAAATCCCTAGTGTTAGTTTTAGATAAAATGCTGAACATAATATAAAACAAAATGCATCCCCAACTTTTTGCATTGTATTTGCTACTCACTGTGTCCATGTCAGTTTCAGAATCAAGGCAAATCTGTATAATACTCCACAATTTCTTTAACCACTGTTGATTTTATTACTTTTTAAATCTTGTTTCATATTATTACGTTCTGAGGAGACCTGATAACATAAAATTGCTGTATTTATTCCTTAATATTTGTGAGGCCACATATACACATGCATCATGAATATAATATGCTTTAGGAATGTGCACTGTTTCTTATACTTAAAGATGAAATGGTATTAGAAAAGGGTTGATACTGTGACATTAATCACAAACATTGTGTTTCAGTGAGACTTTAGCATTTCATTAGCCTACTTGCCTGCTCTTGCTGTTATATTCATCTGTCTTACTTCAGACTTTAAAGAATTTTATCTTTTGATCCAATATAACTTAAATTATGGATCTATCTCTTAGGCAGTCTGGAGAAGACAACAAAATGCTTGTATGCGATACATGTGACAAAGGGTATCATACTTTTTGTTTACAACCAGTTATGGATTCTGTACCAACAAATGGGTGGAAATGCAAAGTAAGTTTAAATTCAATTTCCTAAATTTAGAGTTTGTGTGAAATTGAAGTGTAAGTTGATTTTAAGAGTAATATTCAAGAAGGCTGTTAGGAGTGATGTTCTTCTTCAGTGCCTTTTTTGAGGGGGGGAGAATTGCTGCTGCTCAAATGACAGAATGGAATTTTATTTACATTTTTAATTATTGGTTGTTATTACTACCATTATATTGTATTGCAAACTGCCCAGGCATCTTTTGAGCAGGTGGCAGATAAATAGTTGTATAAATAAACTTTAACAATATAAATATATCATTTAAAAGATATAAATTGCTGACCAGGGGGCAATTTAAAAATGTTCTATATAAGCTGCATTGTTAGTTGATTGAAGTTTCTGAGTTAACTGATGTTTTGATACCATAAAAAAATGTGGCTAAAAAAAGCTCATTTTTTGTACTTCCAGAACTGCAGGGTATGTGCAGAATGTGGCACACGGATCAGTAGCCAATGGCATTACAACTGCCTTATGTGTGACAATTGTTATCGTCAACAAGACAACCTGGCTTGCCCTTTCTGTGAAAAATCCCCCTATCCAAACTTGCAAAAAGAAAGGTTGCACTGTCATATGTGTAAAAGGTGAGAAGTGTGTTGTTTATTCTTCCTTAATTTAATCCTCTACTTGTTGTTAATGGTTTCCAAATCATTTCAAGAAGAATATATCAATATTACTTTTCTTTGGTACTTACCTGTTGCATCCACTACTGATCTTTCTGAAAATTTAGCTTAATTTCTCACAGAATAGTAATATGCACAAGAACTGAGGCTAATTGGCCATGAGACTCAATTCTCAAACTCTCTCACCAACTTCTGTAGAATCATATATCCTATAAACTAAAGGTTTGACTAAGAAGTGTGGTTGGCTTGTTACAATTTATATTGGAACTTATTTCTTGTTAAGAAGTTATATGTAAGCGCACACAATACTCTTTTTTTCTTCATTCGTGAGCATGGCACATTACACTGGTTATCCAAGTAAAACTATAAATATTAAAAGGCCCAATTTGAAATGGTCCAAAATGTTGAAAAGACCTTTTTGTCCCACTGGAAATGTATATTAATGGAAGAAATTAACACATTAATCTGAATTCTAAACCTATTATTCCCTGCAGATGGATACACATAGGATGTGATAAGCCTCCTGACAATGAATTGGATATTCATTTTAAAGAATATATCTGCAGTCTTTGCAAACATGCAGACGTAGATCAAGAACATACACAAATGTGTGACATGATGGAGACTGAACAACTTTTGCCTGAAGTTGACACAGGTACCGACCACCTCTTCTTTTATCTCTTTGCGCCTCTTGTTGTTTCTTCACCTGAAGTCTGCAGATTTCTTCCTTTTCCAGATTATTGCTGCAATAAAGCACAATTATTTTTAAAGTCTATATTGCTGAAATGGCTTAATAAAATTTTCCAGAAAGACCTCCAAATTTTAATGTGGCTGCATCTCGTATTTCATTTTGCTTCCCGACATTGAACTCAAATAGGAACCATTCCTAACTCTTTATAATGTACAAACCTAATATAAAAACACTGTTCAGAGTAGAATGGTATTTATTACCCAAGGTTTTCCCCATGAGTTTAATGAGAAAAATAATTAAATGTACAAGCTTGATAATGTCTTTGCTTTTTTATATCTATGCACATGAAATAGAAATGGAAAGCATAGGTTCCGGAGACATAGGAAACAAGAAACCGCTAGTATCTGAAGGTGGCCTTGATCAAGAATTGATGGTTGAGTCTTCTACAGATGATAAGGACGCCCTTTCTTTGACAGCAGAAGATCATATGTGTATGTATATAAAATGCAATCAGTATTCTAAAATATTTAGAAAATGTAACAAAGTGCATTTTGTGCTTACAATAATAAGGGTTTTAGAATAGATAGTTCCTAAAGGTTATAGAAGAAATAGAACTCTGTTCTGTATAGCTATTCACCCTGCAATCTTCTGATGAAATATATAATAAAACAACAATTCTTTATTACAAAGACCAGAGATAAAATGTATAACTGAAAGAAATACAAAACAGAAAAACAGACAGCTTTTAGTCAGTGGAGTTAGTAACTTATTTCTGGTCTCCTTTTCTTCAGATTGAATTTTTTCTGTTTGTCGTTCTCACTGTAGAAGAGACTCATTATCTAGGGGGCATGATAGTTTTCTAAACTATTCATTTTTGGTTGGTTGAATAATTTAAAAGTATCTTACATTATCATTTTATTGATTTTTTAATAATGATATATATGTGTGAATGAATAGCATTGCATAATTTTGTAAAATAAATTATTCAGTATTAGAATTAAAGCAGAACTTTTAAAAAGTGAGAATATTTTTATAGACAGAGAAAATTCAGTAGGATCTTTAAGAATTTCTTAAATTATGTCAGTTTATGTAATACAAATCTGAAATGTCACAATTTAGTTAAAACTGTCCGAATAAACGAATAGGTTCTTACCCAGATCTGTTTCTGAGCAAGGTAGATTAATTAATTAATAAATAAACTAATACTGAAATAAAATACTTTATAAGTATGAGTTTCAGCTTATAAACTCTGTAAGATCACTTGAGTAACAATAGCAATAGCATTTAGTGGCTAAATTATTAACTGGCCCATAGCACTTTACAATCCTCTCTGGGCGGTTTACAGTATAACATTATTTGCATATGGCGTCCGACAATCTGGGTCCTCATTTTACCGACCTCGAAAGAATGGAAGGCTGACTCAATTTTGAGTCTTTTCATGATCAAACTCCTGGCTGTGGGCAGAGTTTGCCTGCAGTACTTCACATTAACCACTGCACTACCAGAGCTCCCCTTGGATGTCAGCTAATTGTTCGTCATGATATATAAATTATTTTGTAAATTATGATAATTTAAAACTCCATCAGACTTAATACAAGTGTGACAATTTAAACAAAAGGCACTTGTCTATTTATCTAATCATAGATGAAATATTCTTAAAAATATAATTTCTAGTTTGCTAAATTTGATATTAACTTTATAAATGTTCTGGACCAATAAGAATAAAAATATTTATATTATGAGATCCAGTTTGCTGTAGCGGTTAAAGCACTGGTTAGAAACCAGGATATTTTAATATTTTAATCCCAGCTTGTACACAAAGCCAGCTGGGTGATTTGGACCAATCAGTCCTAAAAAGCAGGCAATGGAAAACCACTTCTGAAATCCTGCCAAGAAAACTACAAGTCAGCAATAACTCAAAGACATATATTATATTATATTCTAGTTATATATTCTTATACAGGTAGTTCTCAACTTACAACCATTCATTTAGTTACTGTTTGAAGTTATAACAGCACTGAAAAAGTGACTGATGACAGTTTTTAACAGTTATGACCGTTGCAGCATCTCCATGGTTACATCATCAAAGTTCAGATGCTTGACAACTGACTCATATTTATGATGGTTGCAGAGTCCCAGGCTCATGTGATCCCCTTTTGCAACCTTCTAATAAGCAAAGTCATTGGGGAAGCCAGATTAATTTAACAACTGTGTTACTAGCTTAACCCCTGCAGTGATTTACTTAATACTTGTGGCAAAGTCATGAAATGGTATAAAACTCATTTAGCATCTGTCTTGTTTACAACAGAAATTTTGGGCTCAACTTTGATTGTAAGTCAAGAACTACTTCTATAAGTAAGGTGTAGACATAATATAAATATATATAATTATTTTATGGTGATAGAAAATGCCCCCCCTTTTATAATGGTAAAACTCTGGGCTGTTTAACTGACTGGACATATATTTGGTACCTAAAAATAAAAGATATTTCTTATGTGGTATCTAGATTGTGCATTTTTAATTTCAAGTTGCGATAAGCTAATTTCTAGTTGGGTTAGATAAATATGTGAAAATATAGGTTTATCAATAATTAGCAGCAGAATGCTAACTGGGACCATTTTTTCGTACAGTGTTACAGAACTAAAATTCAGAATTAAAAAACAGTCTGTAGACATTTAGTTGCTTGCACTTTCAAGATTTAAAGGGGGGGAAAGTATTTTTGAAAGAATGTTGCTTTCTATAGCAGTACCATTGTATGAGACTAAAATACAATATCCTCATTTGATCAGGCCTCTCATTAGATGAAAAGAAATGTGAACTGGAGACACAGGTTTCCAGTCATTTTGATACAGAAGAAGGGGAAACATCTGTTAAAAATACTCCTGCACCTGATAGCAATCTCTCTGATAAAAAGAGGGAAACTTCAGAAAATATTCCAGAAATAACACAGCAAGAATCAGATAAACAAGCTGAAGAAACAAAACCATCACAGACAAGCACTGAGTTGGTGGAAGTGCCCCAAGAGGAATGTCAGCTTCTTCAGATGGAACCAGAGAATATATCCAAGATACCTGAAACTTTAATTTTGGTCAGTAAAGAACCAATCTCCAGTCCTAAGGAAGAACAGTCTGAAGCAGTGGTCGTTCTAGAAAGTACAAATGGAAGAGACACTCCTGAAGTGTCATCTCTTCCTCAAAGTGAAAGTTGTGCAATTGAGAGTTGCCAGTTGGCAGGCAAATCTTCAGAATCATCACCTGAGATATTTTCCCCATGTCCATCATCTGTTAAAATAAGCAAATCTATTGATGTATCTTCTTTGCCAACATCTGCGCTAGAGCCAAGTGCATCCCATGAGATGTTGCGATGTCATATGTCATCATTAGAATCTGCTGCGGTTCTTCCATCCACATTTGTATCACTCACTCCAAAAATTGGAATGGGAAAACCTGCTATCACCAAAAGAAAGTTTTCTCCCGGCAGACCAAGGTCAAGACAGGTAAGCATGTTTGCTAAAACTCATTGCATAAAACTAATACAGGTAGTCCTTGACTTCGTTTAGTGACTGTTCGAAGTTACAGTGGTACTGAAAAAAAAATGACTTATGACCGTTTTTCACATTTACAACCGTTGCAGCATCCCCGCAGTCATGTGATCAAAATTCAAACTTGATAACTCATTCATATTTATGACGGTTGCTGTATCTTGGAGTCATGTGATCACTTTTCGTGATCTAACAAGCAAAGTTAGAATAGAGCAAAACTCACTTAATAAGGCTCAATTGTGATCGTAAGTCAGGGACTACCTATAATAATCATTATTTTGACTATGCCTCCCAAACTTTTTACTATGACTTATAATTTCATTGTTATATATTTTTGTTTTGTTTATTGCTTTTAGTTTTGTAAGCCACCCACATTTGCCTTGTGGATGGATGCGCGGCAAATAAATTTAAGAATAAAAATAAAATAAATTGATATTATTGATGTTGGTTATCCTTGAAAGAGGGATTGTGCCATTTGAGTATGTTACTGTACCAATAATTATCAAGGAATATTTATAATAATAAATGGAAAAAATCTCTAAGCTAATAGCATTTTGAAAAAGTCTAATCACCAAAATTAAAAACTGCTTTTAATTCAGATCTGAAAACACAGTAGATGAATCACATCATTTTTTTTCTAATGCTGCTTTCTCTTAGTATATTAGGGATAATTATTATTTACTGGTTTTGCTAAAAGCTTTTTATATTGGTTTTTTTGCATGGGTTTTTTTCCCAACAGAAAGCATATTTTTCAGTATTTTTGTTGTTGTTTAGGCTGTTTCAGTATATAGAGCAAACCTTTATGTCTTGCAGGTAGTAGAGAGCTGTGATCACAAAGATATTTAATACACCTTATTTAACTCGCTTCTTTAAATCCATCACCTTGCTTGTGAAGATAAATTATTTCACTAGTAATTTGGTGAATTTATTCATAGTTTTACATTCTACTAAATTTTATTTCGTTATTTTTATAATTTGCTGTCAGTGAGCTCCAGGCATTAAACTAAATGACTATAAATATATTATAACATAATGCTTCAACTACACTTATCTGTTTTTTTCCTACTTATACTTTATAAAGAAGTTACTACTCCATTATTTTCTAACGTTAAGATATGTCTATTGTAGTGTCTATGAATTGCAGTTTAATTCCTTTTTATTCCATGCCAGGCCAGATACTATCTTAATATAGACACATGTCTGAATTGTCTATCAAGCAAGATTATTGTACCAAATAAAGCTTAGGATATTTACAACATTAAAATCTTGCTTCTTCCATTTTGGTGGTATTTCATCAGAATATAGAAGCTCATTCTAAATAATATCTTAAAAAGCGTGATATAATTAACTCAATAAATGAGTAAATTATATCACGCTTTTTAAGATATTATTTAGAATGAGCTTCTATATTCTGATGAAATACCACCAAAATGGAAGAAGCAAGATTTTAATGTTGTAAATATCCTAAGCTTTATTTGGTACAATAATCTTGCTCTTTTCTGAAAATCTTAAAGGCTGAGTGGAGTCTGTCTCCTGATCAGGCCCGAATAATAGCGTTGGCTATGTATAAAGCACAGACTTAAGGAACACATTAAATTTTCTGTATGAAATGAAAGCAAACCTTCGCTGCAAAAGAAAGGGAGTTTTCCCTCGTAGAGCTCAGATTTTGCAGCAATAGCCAACATCCTGGCTGCAGAAACCAGACCTCTCACTAGTGCCGACACCAAACAAACAGTGATGGAAATGGTGGAAGGGGCAGCTCTCCCTTAGACATAGAAGAGATTGCTATATTGTAGAGACAGGTATCGACCCTGTGCTTGTACCTAAGCCAAAGAAGAAGGTAGACAGCCAGAAAAGGAGCTAGGTTTGGGTACTTGGGGCCAGTATTATCATAGAAATGTTGAAGCAACAGTAAGAGGAAAATCTTTGATTAATCTTTGATTAATTAAAAAAGAGGAAAAAGAGTGGCTTTGGAGGGAAACAGAGAAGAAAGATAGGCTAGGAGGGCAAAAGAACCAACAACCACACAGGTCCCTAGACCAGGGGTCCCCAACCAGTACCAGGCTATGCCATGCCAGCAACAAACAAGCAAAGCCCCATCACGAGATGCAGACAGCACACAAAGCCACGCACTCTCTAGTCCATGGAAAAACCTCTCTCCACGCAACCGGTCCCTGGTGCCCAAAAGCTTGGGAACCTCTACCCTAGACAACACATGCAAGCACTCGCATACTCACAAACTATGGGATGGATTCTTACATATGAAAGTTATACAGAGTACAAGAAACATCGATATTGAATGAATGTTTTGAAAATATGTGAATGCAATCCTTATTTATGAATGGTGTGTAACAAAATATATTGCTTTTAAGATATGTAAGAAAATAGACATTGTTATCGATTTTATTTGATATATAAACTTAGTTACATATTATAAAAAATAGTGCTTAGACCACATACTGCTCAGAGATATCTAAACTGATCTCTTGTCTTTCATGTTCATATTGCAGCTTTTATTTTAAATGCTGTTTTCTCTGCTGTACTTAATATTTCTGGTTAATAATTTTGTTTCAAATGATCTAATCTGTCTCCAATTTGCAGTCTGATTTTAAGAGTATTAAAGATCTTCATATAACAATTGGCAAAATATCCCCAAACTGTAACATCTTGTAAAAATCAAAGTTATAAAAAGATCAATTGCATCTTTTTATTGTCCAATGGACTGCAAGGCGTTCAAACTGGTCAGTCCTAGAGGAGATCAACCCCGACTGCTCTTTAGAAGGCCAGATCTTGAAGTGGAAATACTTTGGCCACCTAATGAGAAGGAAGGACTCACTGGAGAAAGGCCTAATGCTGGGAAAGATTGAGGGCAATAGAAGAAGGGGACGACAGAGAATAAGGTGGCTGGATGGAGTCACTGAAGCAGTAGGCATGAGCTTAAATGGACTCCAGAAGATGGTAGAGGACAGGAAGGCCTGGAGGAACATTGTCCATGGGGTCGCGATGGGTCGGACACGACTTCGCAATTAACAACAACAACATTGTCCAATAGCTTTCTATTTTTCTATCAATGTTTTTATATTTTTATCTTCAACCACATTTCTATCTTCATTGCAACATGATCTTCATTTATAGATGTAAATGCTTTATACATTTATTTTCTCCTCTTACATATTTAGGGTACTTGGAATAGCTATAATACAGCAAGCCCACCTTCCTGGTCCCCCGACATTTCAGAAGGTCGAGAAACATTTAAATCTAGACAACTACCAGGAAGTGCTATTTGGAGCATCAAAGTGGTAATTAATCTTCACTTAACTTTATTGCAGTCTTTCACCAGAATAGGTAGTCCTTCACAATTTGTTTACTGACTGTTCAGAGTTACAGTGGCACTGAAAAAAAAGTGACATGACTTATAAAACCGTGGCCGCATCCCCATGGTCATGTGGATGATCAAAATTTGAATGCTTGGCAACTGACATATATTTCTAACAGTTGCAGTGTCCTAGGGACATATGATCACCTTTTTGTGAACTTCTGACAAGCAAAGTCAATGTTTGAGTTACATGTAGTGAACTACTGCCTATCAGCTGTATATTACGGTAGTTGTTAATTTGTAAGGACTAATTCAGTGGTTCTATATTTAAATAGGGTCGTGGATCAGGATTTCCGGGGAAGCGGAGACCACGAGGCGCAGGACTTTCTGGAAGAGGTGGGCGTGGGAGATCAAAATTGAAGAATGGAATTGGATCGATTCTTGCGCCAGGGGTAAGAATCTATGACACAGCGTCTTAAGTTAATTAGCCCAAACAAAGAGTGCTAAAAATCATTGCTGACTTTTCATAAAATAGTTGTTGACATAATACAAAATGTCATAAAAATATTTCCTGTGCTGATGTTTGACTGTGGTATGCAGTTCAACATGGGCTGTTTTCAAGGCAGATACATCTCTGAATGTATCCCAACTTCTCCAGCACTGGAGATGGAGGATCCACCCGTGGGTTGTGACTGTATTCCTGCCCAATCAGATCAAGTCAGCCAAAGTTGTCACGCCCTGTCCTTGGACCTATGCCCAGTCTTGACTTGATCTTGCCCAAGGAGGACGTACAACTCTGGCTCTTAGGTACAGTCTGATTCATTAGTAGGTTCCTCCATCTTCAATATCATTAGAGATTTATATAAAAAATTTCAGTTCTCCTGTCAGCTCTACAGTGGGGGGGGATTTCTTGGGAGGCAGAAGGGGGTCCCTTCTTTCTCCCCTCCCTCCAGGAGCTCACAGGGCAGAACTACTAAATTGGAAATTTGGAATCCAAATTATTTCAGCACTTTGTGACTCCAAATTGCACGATTAGAGTTAGAAGGCAACGGCTCCGTTTTTCGGCAGGGAGTGACGAAGATTCAAAGCTGTCAGCTCCCTCCGTTTGTCTCTCTCTCTTAGTTTCCTCTCTCCACCGTCAGTTGCGGCCAGAAAAGCCGTTCGACTTTTCGCTGAACTCGACGATTGGCCTCTTCTGATGGGGATTGCGGCTGCGTCCCCGGGGAGGCCAATTTCTAAGGAGAACGTCCGAGGAAGCCGATCGGCTGATTGCTTCCTCGGCGAGTGTTTTTTTGAAGACGGGGATTGCGGCTGCATCCCCAGGAAGGCCGTTTCTCTCGGAAACCGCGCGGTTTTCCGTTGGCGGCTGCGGCGCTCCGAGGGAAGCGAGTCACAGGCTGATTGACACTGTGCTCGTTTTTTCGGCCGTATTTTCGGAGCGGGCAGCCGGTCACCCGGTTAGCGGCTGATTGCGGTGAGGCCCACAGCCGCCTTGCCCATAGTGGGCTTCTGGTGCTCCCAACTGAAAAAGTTGACAGTTGGTCTATTTGGCGCGGCCGCCATTTTGGAGCAGGGACAAGCTTTTTGTTATCCCAGGCACTGTGGTCGAGGGACCAAAATTCATAGGAATTTAGTATTTTTCTGATCACTTCATTTGGGGGATTAAGATTCTGAGGAAAAGACTGTCTCCAGAAGGGGCACTTGATGAAAACTTAGGTGGCACACTTGATCCCCTCTAGACAGGCCACCATTTTACGAGTGGCGGCCATTTTGTGACCAGGGTCCTATCCCTCCTTACACAGACTTATACTTACAGCTCCCTTAGGCCGCTTCAGCAAGCCCCTATTTTCATAGCTTGGTGGCTCCTTGGTCTCCATAATAATTGGATAAACTGCAGCCATTTTTTTGTGCTGCGTGCTAATTTCAGCACTCACTGGAAATTGTGGGCGTGCGTTGCTTTTCACTGATCAATACTGTCAGTGATTCAGGGACTTACGGTGACCCCTCAGAGCACCGGTCCTTCTCTGTGACACGTTTTCCACGGGCACCAGGCATTCCCATAGCGTGTCTGTCGCTGCCTGTGATTGCAGCTGTACCTGGGTCCCAGGCGTCCTCTGGAATTGCGTCTGGTCGCACCCAAGGTGGTAATTTCCTCTAGATACCGGGGGACCCCACTAGAGCCCCTGCGCTATCAGAGGATGGAGAGTATGGAGCCCCTTGGGAAGGAGGTCGTGTCCCCTTCATTGGCTGGCATGAGTTCTATGCCACCTCATCCGGACGGATCTGAAAGGGCTGCACAAAATACCAAGCCAAAATCTACAAAAAAATCATCCAAGGGAGCAGATAAACACGCCACCA